TTTATAAATGGTAAAATTCTATAATACATATGGATTGGATTAAATACTGAACTATTTAATAATTCAACATTTCTTTCAGTTTCAAATTTTAATATATATAGTAAATCTCTTAATTTGGAATTTACAGAATAGGAATTTTCACCATTTCCAATTCTTTTACCTAAATTTATAATTGGTCTTGCACTTGTTTGTTTTGGTAATAATCGAACACTTGCATAGGGTAAAATTTTATTTTTTAAAATTTCATTCAATTCAAATTTTTCTAATTTTTTAAAAATATTAATTTCATTTGAAATTTGATTTTTTTCATTTGTAGTATTATGTAAATTATTTAATAAATTATTTTTTTGTTTTAAATGAAATTGACTTATTTTTAAATAATTACTATTTATATTATATTCATTACTAATTATAGAAGCATTATCATAAAATTTATAAAAGGAAACTCTATTTATATATTCCCATGTTTCTCTTCTTAAATATAATAAACGTGTTCTTTGATGATCACTTTCTGTTATATAAAAATGTGTTGATAATAAAATCATTATTAAATGTTTAAAAATAAATAAAATTAAATTTTGAATCATTTTAGTTTGTTTTTTAAATTTTAAAATATCTATTTTTTTAAAATTATTATTATTATTATTACTATTTATATTATTATTACTATTTATATTCTTTGTATTATTTATATTATTATTATTAAAAAAATTAAAATCATTAATTTTAATTTCTAACATTAATTCATGTAAAGTAATACTTTCAAATCTTCCAAGTTTAACAATTTTATCAATATTTCCAAATATAACATTCATATTATGTTCACTTCCAAATAAAGATTTTGGAATTAATTTTTTTAAAATTGATTTTAAAAATTTAGAAATTGCAAATGAAGAATGTGTCATTTGAATTAAATTTTCAAATTGTTCACTTGAATTTAAAAATATTTCACTTTCTATAATTGGAGTTATGCATTCATCTGATAGTGAGGAAGAATTTGAATCTTCATCTTCTTGTTGTGTGCAAAGTAAATCTTCAAATTTGTTTGTTAAATTTTTACCTTCATTTATAATTTTTTTTAATTTTTTATAAATTATTGGTTGTTCTTGATCATTTATGGAAATTTTATCATTAATTAATTTCCTTTTTTGGATTGGTTTGAGTGGACAATATAAACTTAATATATATGGTAATGATTTTAATTTCTTTTGATTATTTTTAAATTCTAATAAAATTTCTAATAAATTTCCAAATCCTTTTAAATTTTGTTTTTTTGGTAATTCTTTAGAATTATAAAAAATAAAATTAAATAATTTTTTAGCTCCATTTATATCATTACTTGTTATATTTAATATATCTAAATTATTTTTAAAAAAATTAAAGTATTAAATAAATTAATTTATAATTTATAACAACTTACGTTTTTGTGGAAAACCCAAAATTGGATTTTTCTTATTTGAATATAAAATCATTTGTCTAGGTAAATAAATATTTGTACATTTTCTATCAAGTTGATTATTTTTTTCAACAACTTTTTCCAAATCAATCCATTCATTATTTAAATTTTCATCATCTTTCATTTCATCATTTTCATCCAAATTAGTATTAGAATTATTTTTACTATTTTCTAATAATTCCAATTCAATAGTATCTATATTAATGCTATCAATATTTTCATTTTTTTCTAATATTAAATTATTAAATAAATTGTAATCAGTTTTCATTAATTTTTTAATTGAATCTGTTTGAATTAAATTTGTACAAAATTTACAAATTGGAATTCCAGTAATTTGTAAAAAACAATTTCTAGGTAATAATTTAATGACAATACAATGTTGTAAAATATATTTCATCATACAATCACCAATAATAAATAATAAATTTTCCCAATCTTTTCCTTTTACAATATCAATTACTGAATTTGGATAATAAGATTGAATTGTTGTCATGTGTGAAATTCCATCAGATGCATTTGGTCTAATTTTACTAAATCCACTACATAATACATGATTAGGCTTATTTTCAATTCTAAAATTTGATTCTATTATTAAATCTACAATTTCACTTAATTTTGTTTGTTGTTTAAAAATTATTGAATTTTGTAATTTTAAATTATTTAAAGTATTATTTAAATTATTATTTGAAATATTTTCATCATTCATTGATAGAGATTTTATAAAATTTTCGTGATAATCAATAAAAACATTTTCTAAATTTGGAGCATTTGGTGGAATGACAATAAAATACTTGCTAAAATTTGAAATATCTCTTGTGGATAGATATTTTAATTTTTGTTTTAAAAAACAACTATAATCATCATATTTAACAAATAATTCTTCAATAAATTCTATTAAATTCTTCCACTGATTTGGAAATATTAAATTAAATATTGAATTATATTCTTGAA